AAAAAGAGAGTTATATCCCAAAGCTTTGAAGAATAACTATTATTAAACCAAATATATAATGAACCTTTGTTGTTTTCATTTTTGAAGCTTACCTTCACTCCTGATTTCTTATTTTATGAAATTTATATTAGACATGTAAAAATATTATGGTTACTTAATTAAGAAGATCAAATAAGAATTAGTGATGATTTGTTAATACTATTAAGGAACTAATGATTTGTTAATAGGTAGTATTACTGTAAATTTCTTGTGCTAGGTCTTCGAGTATATCAATATCTATTTTATCGTAATATAAAATACCTTGACCAAACTAATGAGGTTTTCATCAAGATATTTTTGACAAATATTTCACATTTTATTTTTTTTTTGGACATTTAGTAAATAAGAATATACAAATCTTTGCTTAATTCACAAAGGATATACACTACTCACAACTCCTAATTTCTTGAACTAGATTAGTGCTAACTGCTAAGGACAATATATATGAAACAAACATAAGGAATAATTATTTAAATGGGAGACATCCAATGAAGCAAATTAAAAATTATCAATTGAAATAAGATATCTATGTTGGGTTAGCTAGGAAAACAGACAACTAAGAAATCCATAAATACTTACAGATATACAGTCAAGAACTTCTGATTTTCTTCTAATGAAAAAAACTGCCTAATCTTAACCATCATCTTATAAGTAGACAACAAAAGTTTGCAATAACTTCAAACATAAAAGAACATGCACATTGCCTTGTCTGATCAAATAATAGATCATTAAGCTCTTGTTTTAAGCAACAAAATGAATAAGAAAAAAAATAAAAATTACTGAAAATACCCAAAAAAAAAAAAAGATTACTGCCAATTTAAAATTCCCTAAAGAATAGTACATTTTTTTGACATAGCACCACCACCAACAAGATCCAATAAACTATAATTAATCAATTAATTAAACTCTACAAATTAAAAAAAAAAACCATTTTTGGGAAAGGGTAAAAAAAAGGTTAACACATTATTTTCGATGCATGCCCTAGTCCTACCACTCCCTTTCCTTAGTGTTTAGGGCACTTACAGTAACAGTAGAGTGCTAAAAATGGAAAACTGATCATTTTTAATGCCCATAATTTTGCTATCCCCGTAAACGGAACACTGTACATACAGCATCAAGCAAACAGTATACCAGCTGCTTTTATTGTGGCATAGTTCTTGTTCAAGTTAGAAGAAGGGAGGGTCACATCAAGATAAAGATTTGAAGCCAATTCTTAAACCAAACTTCGGCAAAAATACAGGTATTGGCAAGCTTTCAAGAGGTAGCTAGGATTTGTTTGGTATCACCTGAATGTTTGGTTGGCATGGTGGGGTTGAGAAATGCCAACCTTTACCTACTATTTGCTTTTTCTCCCACATATCAATTTGAAAATGACACCAACTAATCCTCACACAAAAACGTTTATGTTTCGGTGCAACTTTACCTAAAGATTAAAGGTTAAATTATAGGGCAAAGCCGCTTTTATCCCAACTTTCTTAAGTTTTGGCTTTTCAATGATTTTTTATTTAAGACATTGGGGTTGGTTTTACTACAAATGAAAAGCACGTTGGAAGGTTTCCTTTTTCTCTTCGTCTTAACTCCTTTTTATCAAGCCTTGAATCCAAAGCGATTTCCCATTGTGATCTTTCTCTAATCTCAAAAGCACTATCACAATGTCAAAATCATTCTTCCAAATATGCTAAAAGCATGAAGGCAAACACAAATGCGGTACTCCCATTTGAAGAATGAAGAAGCTACTTTGAGAAAGATTTGAACTTAATTAGTACATTCTGCCTTGGAACATAAGCATGTACTCAACGAAGCATTCAAACAAGCAGGGAATAATTATTGAAATTAATGCGTATGGTTTATTGCCCTAAGTAAACTTAGCTCAAAAGTCAAGAGAGTTGGCCCACCCCAGGACCTTTTTAGGAGAACGGAGAGTGTTTCTAGACCCCTAGTTGGAATCTAGGATTTCCACGCACCCTAATTGCCATAGGAAAAACAAAAGCAAAGAGAAAAGAGTAATTTAATTCAAAGGTGATACTGTTAGGAACTCTTAATGATCTTTAAGCAAGCGACATGGAAGTCAATTTTGGAGCTTAAAAAGGTGGAGAGAAGCAGGAAAGAAACTTGTTACTTTTTCCAACTTCGTTTGAAATTCCATCGTGTTCCTTTCCATTGTACCAATCATTGATCACCTAAGTTACCATGATATTCACGAGTATGATTAAAAAAATCATATTTAAATTCACAATTCTAAATTCAATTAAAATTATGTAGTTATAATGAATGCCATTAAAAAATATAAAAAGACTTTCTCGTGCACGTCTAACAGCCACATTAGTCAAAAGCAAACATATAAAATGAAGTTTATGGGGTTAAATATTACGCATGCTCGAGAAAATCACTTAACACATTAAGAGTCATTTGTAAGTAAGTCTTTATCTTAAAAATAAGACCACTTGTAAAGATTTAGTGATATCAAATCTAGATCTCATTATAAAAGTACTATTTTAATTTTTTTTTAATTTTTTTTTACACATATATGATACCGTGTATATATAAAATTTTATGTTGTATATATCATTTATGATTATAAGTTGTATATATTCAGAGACACGGGGGTGTTGAGAAAGTAGAGGAAGAAAATTGATTACCTGCAAAGTGGGCATTTGCTCATATCCACCCACATGCTTGCATTAGCTTGACCGCATGAGGAGAAATCACGAAAAGTGTTTCACCTTTCACACATGGTCAAAGTAACTAATAGGTGAAAACACCGGTCTAAATCTATGTGATGTAACTATAATCGCGAAAACTGTTTAACCAATGAGAACTTTCGCCAGAATAAGGTACAAACTTGTCCATTTGGTCTTGGAGCTAGCATATATAGAAAAGAAAAAAAGGCATAAATACTTTGAAAATAGCTAACGCCTTTTGGATTGTTCAAGAGCTTGGACTTCCACGTTTCCGATGCTGCAATAAAAGTCTAAAACCTCTGGAGCATTGCGATAAAAAGAAACCGATCGATCTTCCTTAATACCAGTAGACAAAATTGAAGTTATTAGGTAAAGATACGTAACAGACAACATATGGGTTCACATGATGATTCAAACAAAACATGTACCTAAGTTATGCTTCTTTATTGCAAACATGTAATAATCCAAACCTCTTAAACTCTAGTGGTTAGTACCCACCGACGAATTAAATACGTTTTATGAATTAAACGTGGTTTTAACTTCAAGTGAATGAGGTTTTCTTTTTCAGACGTGTGAATCGACCCCTAGAATTATCAACTAGTTCTGCATTATTTTCTCTAGGATGAAAATGAAATAATGAGTAAATATTTCAACAACTTTGCCAAAAAGGAGTTTAGATTCCTTTCACATTGTGAAAATAGTTGCTCCAGAAGTCATTTAGTCAAACTTCAAAGATACCATGGAGCTCTCTGTGGAAGTTTGACTAAGTGGTGAAAAGTACCAGAGCTAAAAGTTGGAGAGGTTGCTTGCTTCTGGTTAAGTTAGACTTTTCCATACTTTGAAGAAAGTGTTCCACATCCTTGACTGATTAATTTAACATAAAAAAAAAAGGCAAAAGTTTTCTACTTCTAGATTCAAAGTTTGGATTCTACAATAAACAGGATAGTAATTACCATAAAATCTCTTTTAATTATTGTTGAGAATCTTCAAGTCCTGTATTGATATCATCACAAAATTGTAGATACATTTAATCTTTATTGGATTTTATAAACTATGTATTTCTACATTCATTCCAATAAATCTTATTGTCAAATACTAGGTCCTATCGCCATCGTGCATACTATAATCTTTTTAAACAGTGCTTTCCTGAATACAGTAGAAGATCTGTCGTGATCATACCAGAAAAATGTTTATAGTAAGCCATTAATTTCTACCAAATTTATGATCAATTGCTTTTTTTATTAATATTTAACCATAATTTATTAGTTTTGAAATTTTATTGTCGTTTGCACATCAATTACTTTCCTTTCATAGGTCATATTTATATTGCCTTCAAAAGTATAATTTTATTTTTATATGAAACGTAACAAATTTGGGATGTTACAAATAAACGTCTGATGTTGAATTACATCATATTTTATTTTATTACTTTATGAAAAATAATAATAGCTTTGTTCATACATATCATAGGGTTAAGTAATATTGTACCACATTGAAAATCATTATCTGCTGTTAATTAATTAATTAATAAAAAATATTTTTTCCTTTTTGAAAAATAAAAGCATTAGATTTTTAGAAAATCTCGTTCCTTTTTTTCTTCTTTCTCTGTTATTTTTTCTTGGAGTTGAACCAAAAAAAGAAGGCCCTTTGGCTGCTGGGAACGCAAAGACACGTGAATTAACGCACGAGATTTGTGCGACGATTCATCACCCAGCTCGTGAAAAAGCACAAACTGCTCCTGTTTTGTTTTTTTTCTCGGTGATAACTCAACCCTTTTTTCCACGTGATACCAGAAAAAAATAAATTTTCTTTTTCATCATTTTCTTCCTTCTTTTACCTTTATAAAAATTTTCTTTTTCAAAAAATAAAAAAACAATTACGGTCACCGACGGCTGCAAGCTATGCAAGAAAGCGATGGCCCTGGCCCAAACTGACACGTGGCCTCGTTACCTTTATACTCTTACAGGTGGCATTGCGGTGACATAGCGCACGTCTCTACCTGCACGTGTCAGTTTCCAGTTCACCTCCCACATTGAGACCCTCCATATCTGTATACAATGTATATATTCTTGTAATTATACCCCCCATTAGGCTATTGCTGCTTACTATTTTATTAAAAATACCAAAATTGATTTCAAAAATTAATGAAGAAAAGAAAAAGGGGAAAACGGTAAAATTACAGCGCGTGTTTCCTGAAAAAACAACAGCTTGCCTTGATAAACACGTCTTAAAAGAGTCGTTCCTCATCAAACTCTATAAATACCCAACCATTTCGCCTCCCCCCTCTCCTTCTTCTTCTCCTTCTCACCCTTTTCAGTTATATTTCCCCGTTTTGCCTTTCTTTCTCCCCTTCCCTACGATTTTTAGGGTTTCCTTTTCTTTTTCTCTCCATTTCTGTTTTATCTGCGTAAACATCTCCATCCATCTCTTTGTTTCATTTCCTCTGGTTGTCCTCTTGTTTCTGTTTTGTCGAATCTCGTAAGAAGTGCATTTTAGAGATCAGTTCTTCTCTGGGTTTCACCTCGTTAATCAGGTACGTTATGGTAAGATTGTCTTTTTTGTTTGGATAATGCACTGTTGTTAAAAACATGTCTTTCACTTTCTTTTCTTTTTTTTCCGTGTGGTTCCTTTCTATTGGTTTAAGGATTAAGATCTCAATGTCAACGCCCATAAATGTTTTAACTCATTTTGGTGAGACATGCATGTGAAATGAACTGAAAATATAAAAAAACAACCTTTTTTATTCTTCTGGGGTTGTTTTGTTTTTGATTTTCTCTGGTGGGTTTTTTTTTTTTTTTTTTACATAGGCAGTTGTCTTCTATTTTTAACCTAATAAATGTGTGGTTTTCTTATATAATTTTTTAAGTGGGGTATAGGATCTTTTCTTGTTGTGGGAGCTGTTTGTAAGGGAAGAAATGATTTTGATGGCCCATTTCATTTGTTTATTTTATTTGATTTAGTATAAGTTTCTAACTTTCTATTTTGTCGGTTGCTAGCTATGAACTAGGTAATGCTATTGATAGTTCGAAACGTGTCTTAATCTCTTTCCTTTGATGTTAACCTTGAATAGAAAAAAAATATTGCTGATGGCCTGTTAATAGTATTATTTTTTTGGCTTACTACTGTAGTAATTATTCGACGAGATTATGCCCAGAACCTTCATTGACTTTGTCTATGTTTAATGATTCATACATATAAGCTTTTACTACATCTATTTTAATTTTCAATTTATTTTATTTTATTATTTTTTGATGGTGGGGGTTTAAAGTTAATGGTCGTTTTGGTAGTTGCAGTGTCTTGTCCTTGCAAAGAAGTTAATATATAGCAGTTGCCTTATTTTTTTTCTTTCTTTTTTCAGTTTGTTTCTGTGTTTTAATACTAGTATTTCTCTATTTTTTATTCATTGAAATTTGATGTTGATGTATACATTTAGATCTGCAATTCAATCTCATCCTTTCTCTGTCAATGGCCCACTTAGGTACAATATACATGTATGAGATTTTTAGGAGGTATAAAGATTTTTATACATATGTGTTACGCGTGTTGTGGTTGTATACAAATTGGTGAGTCCTACAATTGTTTGTCAATTCATTTATGGCTTTGTAGTATTTGTTAATGGTAGATGTATCTATCTTGACAAAGAAATGAAAATGAGGTGACACCACATACTGTGGTGATGAAAGAGGCCAGGAATATTAATATTACTTATCGGATACGATGAAGTCAGTTTGATAATTAATAGTATGTCTCTTGCATTTTATAGTTTTGAGTGATATTGTTTTTAATTTGCAACACATGGCTATCATTTTTGCTTAATATTTTGTATGTTGTCAGGAATTTTTAAAATATATATGAAAATTTTCTGGCCTCTATTATTTTTTTGTGATATGTACGCCTTTCCACTTTAGGAGTAACTTTTTTTTAACATACTAGAATATCTTTGTGTTGGTTGATCTGGTAAAACTTCTGTTTACCTACTGTTCTGCCACATGAGAGTTTCTATGATTAGACATCTGATGTTAATTTGGATTTCCTTCGGATTTGAAGTTGGTTTTTACTTCCTTTCTACATTTCATTTACCTATATGTGGCTTGGGCAGTTTCTGTTTTTCTCTTTATTTACATACTTCAGACAAAGAAGGAAGAAAGTAGATGGTTGGTATTCTGTGTTCTTGAATGTTGCAGCATATGTATATGTATACGTGTGTTTTTACAAAATTATTTTGCATTAGGATTTTACTGGTGGCTCCTTTTATTGGTAAAAAGATTACGACTTACTAAAAAGTTGCAAAGTTATTTGTTCAGTTGTAAATAGAAGCCAGATCAGATAGAGCTGTACTCTTGTTTTTTAATTTTCGATTCTGTCAGTGCATTCCTTATAATGCCACCTTGAAGAACTAATTATGCAAGAATACTTGCATTTTCCCGAAGATTAGTGATGGTTCAAGACATGAATCAAGCCAATTTTGTACCGTTCTTTGGCATATAAATTGTTTCTCACGTTGGTGAAATTGAGTTTTGTTTTTCGTGGAGAAAGCTATGTTGTTCGGTTCATCTATCCTCGTTGAATCACAATTTACTCACATCTGTATTATAATGCCTCTTTCTATTGTATTACATGCAGATTTAAGCACATTCTGATCAAATTTTGAATCCATAGTACTACCGTCTCAAGAATCCTTGCACAAATAATGTTCTGTTACCTGCCATAAATGCGCTGCAGCTTCGGAGATGAGAAGGTATGTCTAATATATGTATTTAACCTGAGAAAAGCCTTTAAATCTTAAATTTACTTTTTTCTTTGATTTCATATTTTGAATTTTCACTTCGCTGTGATCATCAGTTTTCAGGAAGCCTGCGATTGATGGACTGCTCACGCAACAGCAGTGATAAGAAAACATTGAAGAGGTGGTTTTTCATAGACAAAAGGGTTGGCTAAAGGTTTTTAAGGGTTGAAGGTTCTTAACTATATTTGACAAACCTGCTGCTATCATCAAAGATATAGTTTAACCCGTTCTAAGTGTACTGAAAGTGATCTGAAGCTAATGGAGTTAAAGTCCAATCACTCATCGCCTGTCCTCACTGATCCTGCTCCAATAAACAAGTCAAGACTAGGCATCCACTCCAGTCTGCTGTCCTATCCACAATCAGGTGGATCTTTGTCCTCTGGCAAGTATATGACAATTCCCAGAAAGAAACCTGGGCAGCTTGATGATGTCCGCTCCAATGGTTGGCTGGATGCCATGAAATCTTCATCACCCCCTCGTAAGAAGCTAATTAAGGACTTCAATATTGAGGTTGCTGCAGATGATATTGATATTGCTTATTGCTCCTGGATGGTATGCATATATGTAATTGTTGATAAATACATTTGAAGCCTACCTCTCATACATTTCACTAGATAAAGTTTCTTGTTCTTATGCTCTGCTTCACTGCTGATCATGCAGATTAAGTATCCATCTGCTCTTAAATCTTTTGAGCAAATTTCCAAAAATGCCAAGAGCAAGAAGATAGCTGTTTTTCTAGATTATGATGGTGTTCTTTCTCCCATAGTAGATGACCCTGATCGTGCCTTTATGTCTGATGCTGTAAGTACGACAGTCCATTTTGGTGCATGTATATGATATTATTTCTTGGTTGTATTCATTTTCCTATTATTAAAAGAAAAAGAAATTGAAAATGGTCTTACTTTTCTCCAGATGCGTTCTGCTGTCAGAAATGTTGCGAAGCATTTCCCAACAGCAATTATTAGTGGGAGAAGTCGTGATAAGGTAGATGCTGGAGCATTCAGGGACTTTGTTCCGCTTCTTTGTCCTCTATAATTATATATCATCTGGGGATCAATAGGGCCTGATTCGCTGCAATTTTCATTGCAGGTTTATGAATTGGTAGGACTAACTGAACTTTATTATGCCGGCAGTCATGGGATGGACATTATGGGCCCTGTGAGTCATACAGAGTCTGGTGACCATCCAAATTGTATTAGATCAACTGACCAACAGGTAAGAGTCAATAATTGAAGAGCTCCTTTGAATTTATTGGTCTCCACTCGCCATGCAGAGGCTGTCAAATAAAATATAGAAAGTATTGTGTCACTCTCGATTTCATGTTAATCATTCTGTACTTGTATGACAGGGCAAGGAGGTAAACCTTTTCCAGCCCGCTAGAGAATTTATACCTATGATAGACGAGGTGCATATTTGTTATGTTTAGCGCATCATTCATTCAGCTCCTTTTCCAGACATGTTTTATTATACATCAGTAAACATCTTGCAGGTTTTCAAAACCCTTGTCGAGAATACTAAAGATATCAAAGGTGCAAAAGTTGAGAATCATAAGTTTTGTGCCTCTGTACATTACCGTAATGTAGAAGAGAAGGTGGGACACTGTAGGTACCACATTTCTTATTAAGCCATTCAGTCTGAGTAACTAGTTCTAATTTTTCAAGTGCATTCTCTTTCCTTTTTCAGAACTGGCCAACTATCGCACAATGTGTTCATGATATTTTGAAAGACTACCCTCGCTTGCGATTAACTCATGGGCGGAAGGTATGTTCGTATAAATTGCTGGCTTTGAAACCATAATTTTTATTTGTCTAATAATGTAATGTGATGCTTCCCCCTTTTTTTGTTCTCTTGAGAATTCTCTGACATTTTGTATTAATTTTATAGCAATACTACCATCTAATCTAAAGGCTTTGCCTCCTAACATACTTATTTTCCTTGTTCTTTAGGTTTTAGAGATCCGTCCTGTGATTGACTGGAATAAAGGGAAGGCAGTTGAGTTTCTGCTTGAAGCCCTTGGTAGTTCTCTCTCTCTCACACTGTGATCGCCAGTTTTCCAGGTTAATGTGTTTTCACTTGTCGATGTAATTTTATGTAAAAATTGATGCAGGACTAAGTGGTAGAGATGATGTGCTTCCAATTTATATCGGAGATGACAGGACTGATGAGGATGCATTCAAGGTAAGTACATCACTCTAATCGCAGTTGTTATTATGTGTGGCATTTAGAAAATTTGCAGCAGATTCTAACGCTAGAGTTTATGCAGGTTTTGCGGGAAGGAAGCCGAGGTTATGGGATCTTGGTGTCTTCTGTGCCCAAAGAGAGCAAGGCGTTCTACTCTCTCAGGGACCCATCAGAGGTAGAAAATCCTGCTGAAGATGTTCTTATTTCTCTGTCACATCACACTCACATGGAATTCTTTGCAGGTGAAGAAGTTTCTCAAGGCTTTGGTGAGATGGAAGACGTTTGAAGAAGCTTGAAGAAATTAGGAGCACTATAATTTTCAAGCAGAGCATTTAGTTACATGCAAATAAATATTGCATTCAATTCTTATTTTGGATCATAAATCCAGAATGAATCCAGTCATTTCCGGTGGCCACATTATTTCTAATCTCTGTCAGAATTTTGAAAATTATTAATTGATATCAAGTTATTTATATGAATATTTTACCCTTATTATTGTAAAGCATTTTCCCCCGGTTTAATTTTCTTTTCGTGCATTGGTTCTTTAATTATTGGCTGTTTGATTATTTAGTCTAGTAAAAACAATCTATTAGAAATAAAATCTTTTGCTTCGAGGCCAATAATTAATGTACAAGCACAAAATACAACAAAAACACTGTTTATTTTTTCCTCTACTGATCAGAAGATGGACTCGGCGTTTGAAATGAAATCATGACGGAGAATCCGAGAAGAGATGCAGCCATATTCAAGCACCCCCATCCACGTAGGGACAAAATTGTCGAAACATTTTGTCTTCTGATATTACCATCATTGTAAAGGCAGAAGAAACACATCAAAGTTATTAATAGTATGACACTAATCAAACTCCCTTTTTTTCTTTATTATTTATATACTAAATAGTATTTCATTTGTAGTGCACGATAATTGTATGTCTTCTTTAAATTCATCAACATGTGTGCTTAGCTGTATAGGTCTTAGAGTAAATTGCTTAATAATTTGGACAATTTATTTTTAAATTATGGCAGTTGCAACCAACAAAACCCCTTTTTTTTTCCTCTCCTGCGGAGTTTGTTCCTTGTTTTCAGAACATTTTTTTTTGGTTTGTCAAATTCCCTTACTCAATTTTTGTTAAACCTTATTTATGAATTTACCATTTTGGTTGGGAATAATAAATTTATTAAAATTCATAAATAATTCTCACCAATCCGAGGTCGACAGTTCAGCCAGTAACCATCCGTTGCAAAAATCTAGAATACATGCCGGCAAAGTTCTTATCCATGGAAAATGTCCGGCACTTGTTAAATTTCACTTAAAGCTACCCAAAACCGAGCATTGAAAAACTCAAACCTCCATTAAAGAACTTCCACCTGTCCAGAACATTTCCCACATAGATATAAAAGAAAGAATTCACCCCTTACCTTTGATTCTCATTTCTTCTCTTCTCTCTCTCTCTCACTCACGAAAATGTCACTCTCCTTGCAATCTCCGTCTTCTACATTTCTCTCTTCTTCTTCTTCTTCTTCTTCGTTGGCAAAATCAAGGTTAAGATTTGCGAATGTGTCTTCTTCTTCGACTCTGCTCTTCAAGTTCAACAGATCTTTTCCAGTTATTCGTGCCTCCTCGTCCTCGGGCTTCTCTTCTTCTCTCGACACTGGTTTACCTCTCTTTTCTTTTTGGATCTTTTGTTCAAATGTGTAAACTTTTTAGTTATCTCTTTGGTTTTTAATTGGTGGGTTGTTTCTAATTTATCAGGGTTGAGTACTGAATTGGATGCTGTGTCTAGTTTCAGTGAGATAGTTCCTGACACTGTGATCTTTGATGATTTTGAAAGGTAAAGATTGTTTTCTTCTTGGTGATGGAAAGAAATTTTGATTCAAAAGGCCGACTTCTTTTTACTAATTAATTGAAATTGATAGGTTTCCACCAACTGCCGCAACTGTTAGCTCTTCACTGCTGTTGGGTATATTGAGCCTTCCTGATACCATCTTTAGAGTAAGCTTTTTCATTTGAAATGAATATATGGGGAGCTTAAAATCTTACATATATATATATAAAATTCACAAGTTAATTTTTTTTTCTTTTGGGATTAGAATGCTGTGGATATGGCTTTGGCGGATTCAGGTTGTTCTGGGCTGGACAATCCTGAACTGAGGTTGTCTTGTTTCTGTAACAAGGTACGTGAACTTATGCATTGAACTATTAAGTCATAATGCATAAACTTTTTGGTCTTTTGCTATCTATCATTCATTTACGTTGGCAAAGAAGGGAAAAAAGACTGCAATTGGATCGTTAGTTTTTAACATTTGGTTGTTCATCAAGTGTAGGCTTTAGTAAATGTTGGTGGCGACTTGGCAAAGCTAGTTCCTGGTCGGGTTTCAACAGAGGTGGATGCGCGTCTGGCTTATGACACACATGGCATTATTAGGAGGGTATTGACTTTTCTCATGTGTCCATTTATATTTTTTGCTGAATTTTTTGATTCTGTTGTATCATCCTGTTGTTTGTTATCTCAATCCCAGCCAATTTTAGTTGTTGAAAATCGTGTAGGGTTTTACGCATATGCATCAATGTTGAAAATTTAACTGAATATACACACTGATGAAATGAACTAATTTGTTTATTCAGTTGAAAATTTTAAGTGAACATACAATTTTTGCTTGTCTTATGTTGACTTGAGGTTCTTCTCTTAGCATTTGGAATGAGAAGTATAGTGAAAGACTAATTATTTGTTATACACGATTATATTTTAAACCGCATGGTGATTATAGGGATGTTCCTCATCAAATATATTCTATATACTATCATATAAGATGAATGAAATTTCCTTCTAAAACTTTGCAATTTGTTGGTACTAAACTTACTGTTTGTTTTTATTATGTTTTAGTAGTTTATTTATCTGCTTTTTTTTATTTCTGATAGGCTCCCTTGTGCTAAAAGCTTGTTGAAATATGCAGGTGCATGACTTGCTGAAGTTGTATAATGAGATTGATGTTCCTCCTCAGCGTTTATTGTTTAAAATTCCTTCAACTTGGCAAGTGAGTACCTCAATGAAATCTCTGTACAGATATGAAGTTTTAATAGTCTTGGAATGTAAAAGCTAAATGGTCCTTGCTGTTGCTTGTTGGTTATGCAGGGAATAGAAGCCTCAAGATTGCTAGAATCTGAAGGCATACAGACTCATTTGACTTTTGTTTACAGGTATGTGATTATGTGGAAAATGATGTTGCTTGATTATAATTTAAGGAAATTTCTGCACATGCCATGTATAACCAAAAAAAAAACTCGCATGGGAGACTCTGCTTTCATCCTTAGTTTTTTCTAATCATTGCTTGTTCTGGTGTGTTTCTTCAGCTTTGCTCAAGCTGCAGCTGCAGCCCAAGCTGGTGCTTCTGTTATTCAAATTTTTGTTGGCCGTGTTAGGGTATTGTTTTCCCCAAAAAGCCGACTTTGATGAAGTTAATGTGCAAACCTTCATATATGTTATTCTCAAAACACATTTTTCATTCTTCAGGACTGGGCACGTAATCATTCTGGTGACCCTGAGATTGAAGCTGCTATTCAAAGAGGAGAGGATCCTGGTTTGGCTTTGGTTAGTTAAACAACTTTTATCTTCTGAGTTTAGACTTAGCTTGTTGTGTTTATAGAATTTTGTTGACTACTGATGACTTACACAATTGTTTCTCTGAGTAGCCGCATTGGTCCTAATGCTTTCTGAAGTGCATTGAATCTGTTGCTTGTGACTGTTGAGCCTTTTTTTAGTATTTTTTTTAATGAAAAACAGAGATTGTTCGTTTTTCTATATTAAACTTATGATTCTAGATTTCCTTGTTTTTCATTTTCTTTTCTCTCCATTCAGCATCTCTTCTAAGTCTAGATTGCTGAGAATCTTAGATGCCCACAAATTTTGAATGACTTAGGAATAATGTCAAGGGTTCACCATTGAATTTACCTTTTCTTTTTCTTGTCTCCTTTTTAATAGTTCTAGGAATACTTGTTATTGACAACTTGTACTATAGGAATGATCATGTTACCGATAATATGATTTTTATTTAGTATCGAAGGTTTATTCAGTTATATTTAATGTGTCTGCTTCTTATAATTTATAATGTAATACTGACACGAAACAGTTTGAAACCAATGTACTGTTGTTGGTTGCTGCAGGTGACAAAAGCTTACAATTACATTCACAAATATGGGCATAAATCAAAGCTTATGGCAGCAGCAGTTCGAAACAAGCAGGATTTATTCAGTCTGCTGGGGTATCATATGACTTGATTCTTATCAATTTTAATGGGAAATCATTACAAATTAAGAATCAAATATTTTCTTTTCTTAAACCTGTGGTATGGTTTATTCCTTTCAGGGTTGACTATATCATTGCACCCTTGAAGGTGTTGCAATCACTCAAAGAATCGGTTACTGCTCCTGATGAGAAGTACTCTTATGTGAGGAGGCTGTCCCCGCAGTCTGCTGCCACCTACAATTTCACTGCTGAGGAGGTCTGCTTTCTTTTTATACTTTTTTCAACTCAGATAAAACAAGGGAAAGGGAAATCAAAACTCACTGCACATAATAATCACAAATTGCTATTGATGTGAATCTAGTAATTTTGCCAGGGTATTGCATTCATGATCTTACGGTTTGAAATTTAGGTACTCCTTTGATAGCTTCATACTTTAGCTATATAGAAACAGCCTTTATAGGTATGTCCATGTCTTTGGAGTTAGGCCTTTAATTTGCACCTCTAAATAAAGGTTGTCAATGTTTAGGTTTAACCTATCATTTCAGTACCCTGTAGATAGGCTTTCCATATCAAAAAAATATTTTTCAGTTCTTTGCTAATCTGATTATACTTGCTCATTGTGGTGCCCTGTTGATAGCTTGAGTACTTTCCCCCTTTATTTTAACTTTTGAAATAGAATGACTAAAAGTGGAGATGAAGAAAATCTCTAGCTATGGAGCTTATCATTAGTTGGAGATCATTAGAAAGGGTAAAAATCTAGAAAGCAAAGATGAAAGATAAAATTGGAAAATTATGGGATTTAATTAGATTCTTGTGGCATTCTCATGTACCACTTTGGTTACTACTATTATCCCTTGTTGGAAAATAGAAAATGGAAGCATATTCTTTTCTACATCCTTTGCCATGATTTCCAGCACCATATTCTCAGCAACCACTTCAATCTTTTTCTCTTCATCCGGCTAGTTGCTGCAACTCTATTAATGAATTAGACCATGCATGTCTTTACAACCTTAAGTCATCAAGATTATGCACTTGGTTCCCTATTAGTTTAAATTTCAGTTCTTTGAGAAATGTTTTTCCTTGTCTTCATCCTTCCTGTGCTCAACTAATGAGCACAAGCATGCATAACAAGGTCGTTTTTGTTTCTAGAAACCATGAACTGTTTGGTGACTGATATTGTCTCTATGTTCAGCTCACAAAGTGGGACCAATTAAGCCTGGCATCATCTATGGGACCTGCATCCGTGGAGCTTCTGGCTGCTGGACTAGATGGATATGTTAATCAAGCAAAGCAAGTTGAGGAATTACTTGACAAGATTTGGCCACCTCCAAATGTCTAAAGAGTGGCTTGTTCATTTTGAAGCACATCTCATCTGGCATAAAATAAGAGGATGTACCCAACTCCACAATGTTGTTAGCAACACTTTCTTTTAGCAGAGCTCTTGAGTTGGTATTTAAAGCTTGATGTTAATCATGCATCTTTTCATGTTGTCAATGAAACACAAAGCTGATGTTGCCCTCTCCCATTGCATGTGGTAACGCTCTTCTGCCTACTGTCCAAAAAATTGCATTCAATTTCACGGCAAAGCCTTCCTCTTTGAATACTGTTATATTTTATGCTATTATTAATTGTTT